TACTTAGAGTCTTCCAGCAGCAAATGTTAATTATATAAAGGAAAATTATTCCACTGGAAATCCAAGAAAAGATTGGCCTTACTGTTTGTTATTTCTGTTGTGTGTGTTTTCTGCATTTCATATTTTCAACTTGTTTTGCATCAAATGATTACAAATATTGTGCCTAAAATTGCAGTACCTTCAGGCTATGTATGTGTATAAGATGCACATGAAACATAAATAAATGTTTGTATTTAAACTTGGGTTGAATCGTCACGATATCTCCGTTAGGGACAAAATATGGGAATACAGGTATTTTAAAACCCCAAAAAGTCCAAAATCCCAAACATCCTTTAGTGGCAAGCAATTCTGATGCGAGAAACCCAACCTGCCCTGGAAGGTTCTTAGTATGCAATATTGCACCAACTTTTGATGGTGTGTCAATAGGAAAAGGTGAAGAAAATACCAACAGCCGTAAAGGAGAAGGATTCGCACTGGGGACTCACTCTGGGATTGTTTTGGAGGACATCTCCCGCTTGTAAGCCAGCTGGTACTTAAGGCTTTCGACTTCTTTTTTCCACTGCGGAGGATCCCATTCATCCATGGAGACCTCTTGGTGCGGCTTTCTTGTCAAGCAAAGGAGGAAGAGGTCAATCTAGGCTGAAAACCCAAGAAAACAGGTGGTTACTACCGCCATGCAAACCCATTGGGCAAGTCACACTCTCTCAGCCTCAGAGGAAGGCAATGGCAAACCCTCCACTGAACAAATCTTGCCAAGAAAACCCCAATATAGGGTCACCATAAGTTGGAAAAGGCATTCCAGGTTTACTGGAAATCAATCCACATTCCAGCAATTTCTCTACAAACATTTGCCCTTTTGCAAAAGATACAAACATAAATACAGCATTAACACCATGTAGTTGCTCTTGTTTCTCATACATAGGGATGTGAATAAATATATATATATATATATATATATTGCAAGAAATTCCTACCATTGGAGCCCAAGGTCACCCAAGACTTGGCTTCTTGCCACTCAGGTTGGTCTTTACCAATCCTTTAAAGTTCGGACTAAACCCCAAAACGGATTCACCACCTGACAAGCCCAAGAGCCATCAGCTGCCAATGGTTAATAGGGAATTAATATTTCTACCTCTCCTCCATTGAATGCCTCTTTCTCTTAGACCTGGAACAGCTGTGTCTATGGAGCAGAGCCTTTTTGGGGGCTGCTCCCAAATTTTGGCTTTCTTTCCCATTTGGCCAAAAAGAGCTTTTTCCCATATAGGCAGCCCTTTGGCTTTCACATTACTGGAGCAGAAAGTTCTTTTTAACAAGGTATGGGATGAGGGTTTTTAATCTTTTTCTTATGTTTTAACATGTTTCCAACTGTGGCAATGTTTGAAACTATTTGGTTAAAGTTTTGTTTTGTTAAACTTTTGTATCAAATAGGTTTTCATTTCATTTCTGTGCCACTGTTCTCCCAAAAAGGACCCACAACTAAAACCATTTAAAGTATCCGTTTGGGTTTGGGTTTGGTTCCAGGACCCTCCATGAATAAATAAATCTATAGGTGCTCAAGTGGCATTAAATACCATGGCAGAGCAAAATGGTGTCCCTTGTATTAAATGGTAAAATCAAGCTTTGCTTTTTGGAATTTATATATACTTTTAAAATATTTTCAAGATGTGGATGGTGGAATACATCGATAAAGACTCTGTGGATATGGAGGGATGGCTGTAAAATGGTGTCTCTTGTATAAAATGGCAAAAGCAAGGTTTGCTTCTTGGAATATATATATATATATATATATATATATATATATATATAATATTTTCAAGATGTGTACAGTTGAATCTTTAGATAAAGATAAAGAATCCACAGACTATATTTTTTAAACTGTGCTAAGTTTAATTCTTTCTTAAGGGGGGGCAAGATATATTATCATGTATTGTTATCATGTATTGTATTGGTTTGTTTTAACATGTAAGTTGCTTTGATTGCTATTGTAGTAGAAAAACAGGATACAAATAAAAGTTTTATTTCTTTATTTTATATGGAGGGATGACTGTAAAATTGTGTCCCTTATACAAAATGGCAAAACCAAGGTTTGTTTTTTGGAATATATATATATATATATATATATACAAGATGTGGATGGTTGAATCCATAGATAAAGAATCTGTGGATGGATAGAGAGGGACAACTGTAAAATGGTGTCCCTTATACAAAATGGCAAAACCAAGGTTTGTTTTTTTGGAATTTATATATACTTTTAAAAAAAATGTTCAAGATGTGGATGGTTGAATCCATGGATAAAGAATCCATGGATATGGAGAGGTGACTGTACAATGGTGTCCCTCATTTTAAAAATGGCAAAAATCAAGGTTTGCTTTTTGGAATTTAATCTGTAAAGGCATCTTGTCGCACCTTTGAGATTAAGAGAAAGTAAGAAGTTGGTAGCATGAGCTTTCATAGACTTGAGTCTTACTTCCTCAGATGCATTTATGGCATTTATTTATATATACATATTTAATATTTTTCAAGTTGTGGGTGGTTGAATCCATGGATATGGAAGGTTGGTTGTACTTTGTTCTTAACTTTGATGAAAACCATGGAGAATGGATGAATAGATGGATGAATAGATGGATGGATGGATGGATAGGTAGATCCAGAGAGCCCAAATGGGAAGGAGCTTCATTCCTATTTGGATTTAAAGAATTGACCCAGCTTTGCAAATTCCTTCCTATTCAAGGTGGGGAGGAAATGGAGGGCTTTAAAAAGTCCAAGGTGTGAGAAGGTGAACTTGACCGCCTTTGCCATTCCTCCATCCAACCTGAGCATTTCCCTCTGGTCCATTCCACTTTCCTTTGCAAAAGCGATGCTCTCCCTTGTCCTACGGTTTGCAGAGTTTGTTGATCTGCCAGCATTAGCCTTTGACTAACAAATCCTCCTAAATGCTGGGGAAGAGAAGGAGGGAAAGAGAGCAGCTGTTGCCACCCTGATGGAAATGAAAGATATAATCCGGATGCAAATAGCTGTTTTCACAAGATTGTGTTGCATGGCTAGAGAGAGCCCAGGTGGCTGGGAATGGCACCAAATGCGGCTGCATTGATGCTTTTTTCCCTTGGTCAAAAATAGGCCGCAATGATGTTGGTGCACTGTTGTTTCTATTGTGTGCGTTCAAGTCGTTTCGGACTTCCTTGGGCAAGTCACACTCTCTCAGCCTTAGAGGAAGGCAAAGGGAAAAACCTCCTCTGAACAAATCTTTCCAAGGGACCTTATCTCATGGAGGCAAATGGCTTAAATCCCATGCAGAAAAGAGATTTAACAATAAAATAAAATAAAAAACCCACAAAAGGGAGTTGTTTTTCAGGTGTTTTTGTGTAAAGGAGAAATAAGGCAACATTAACCCGAATGAAAAGTCACCAAAACCTGCTCCTTTTTTCTTTCGGAAGTTCCCTGAACTTTCCGTTCAGATTAACGTTGCGTTATTTCTCCTTGACACCAACATTGTGTGAAAAACAACCCGCTTTTGCATGGGATTTAAATCCAGTTTCTGCAAGAAAACCCCATGATTGGGTCACCATAAGTTGGAAAACAACTTGAAGGCACACAACGACAACAACAACAAAGTGGTCACACTTTCTAGGACTCTGCACAAGGAGCGTAGTCTAGTATTGTTATGCCCCAAGTTGAACATGAGACTTTGCCAACATCATGCAATTGGCTGTGCGCACAATGGTGCGATCCAACACAACTCTGGCATAGTGTCACTATAGAATATGTTTGTACTACACATAACTTGTGCTGGCTGTGTGCCGTAATAATAAATGTTG